CCCCCCCCCAGAATGTTGCCCGGCAGAACAACGACAGTGACTGTGGCGCCTTCGTCCTGCAGGTGAGATGAGCTGCACCCACTTCTGGGGACTCCCTTCACTTCCCCATGGGAGTGGACATCATCTCTCATCATCCCCTGGGGCTCTTATTCCCCTTCCCCCAAGTTGATCTCCCTCACCCCAAGATCTGAGATTTGCCACACTCCCCTCATTGCTGGGGTAGACACCCAGGTCTCCAGTTATTTCCCTCTCCCAAAAGATCTAAGGCCTTCCACCCACCCTTCATAGATGGGGGGACCCAGGTATTGGCTCCCATATGCCCAAAGATCTGAGAATTTCCATGCTCCTTGTACCTTTCGGGTGGTGGGGGGAACCCAGCTGTCTGCCCCCTCCAAATTTTAACCCTTTCCCTCCCCCCCCCACAGTACTGCAAGTTCTTGGCTCTGGGGCTGCCCTTCTCCTTCACCCAGCAGGACATGCCCAAGCTCCGCCGGCAGATGTACAAGGAGCTGTGTCACTGCAAACTCACCGTGTGAGATGCTCCCCCATCTCCGTTCCCCCACCCTCACAGAAGGTGGTGGGCGGAGCCTTGTGGAGGGGTGGAGCCTGTAAGCCCCCCCCTCTACACTGGGGAGGGGGGGGCACTAAGTGTGTCTCCCCCCCCACCTCCCCTTTAAAAGAATCCAGACTCTGGGGGGATTTCTCTGTTTTGTTTTGTTTTGTTTTTGTTTTTACTCCTTTCTGTGTTCATTTTTTTTTTTTGCGCCCCCCCCCCCTTATTTAAACTCATGGTGCATTTTTCTGGGGGTGGGGGGAGGGTATGAAGGTGGAAACATGCCCCCCCCCATGCTAAATATAACCCCCCAGTTTGGGGATGGGGATAGGAACCAAAACGAGGGGGGGACCTTTGTGTTGCTAGCACAGGCGGCAGGGGAAGGTTCTGAGCGTGACGCGATCCCCCCCTTTATTCCCTCCTCCAATTGGTCCATTGTGTTCGGTGCATTTTTTTTGTCTGTTTCCAAAGGGAGGGGGGTGTTTTTTGGGGAGGGGTACCGGGGGACGGGGGGGGGGGACTAGGGGGTCGGACACTGGGCTGCCACTGGAGGAAGGAGGAGGGCGTGGATTAATATTATTTTTTTTGTTTTCGGGGGGTGTTTTTTATATCTCGACGGGCGTCGGCGGGAATAAACTTTTCGCTCTTTGGAGCCCGTGTATGTGTGTGTATGCGCGGGGGCGGAAACCCGGGCGCCCCTCCCACGTGGGTCCCCTGCGGGCGTCCCCGCCGCCCACGTGCGGCCCACTTCCGCGCCTGGCCAGGTGTGACGGGTGCGCCTGCTGTCCAATCCGCGCGCGCCTGGGTCCAGAAGCGGAAGGGAGGGGGAGAGGTTGCAATATCACGAGTGGCTAGCCAATGAGCGCCTGGGGCGGCTCGCAGGCGAGGCTGTGCCGGCGGAGCTGCAGAGGAGCTGGTAAGCGGCGCCGCATGGCCTGGAAGTACCATACCTAGCGGGGGTGTGTGTGGAAGGTTCCATTTTTTCGCCTGTAAGGGCAGCGCGTACTCGCTCTGCCCGCTACGACTGACCCTTTCGGGCATCCGTGCGGGGGGGCGAGTCCATTCTCTGCCGAGAAGAGGGAACGGAACGTACCATTCCTCGTTTGGGGTATACCATGTTGCTGGCCTCCACCTGCTCCCGCTTTTCTGAATGAAGCGGCGGGGGCTGCTGGGGGCCTCCGGGGTCGCCGCGGTCCGCCACGGTTCTGCCCGTCCGCGTCCCGCCGACACACCCCCGCCCCCCCCCCCGCCTCTGGGTCTGCCACGTGCCACGGACTCTGCTCCGGGCCCCCCGCCCAGTGCCTGCCGGGCCTCGGCCTTCTGCCAGGTGTCCCATCCTAGCCCGGCTGCCGCGCGAGTCAACTAGCTGGGGCGAGGAGTGGCTGCACTCCCCCACCTGCCCTTCCACCCAGCCCAGCCCCTAAAACTGGGCACATCCAGGCCTGTTGCACCCAGCCTGGCCCCCAGAGCTGGCTTCTTCAGGACCCTCCTCACTGCTGTGCTCCCCCCACCAGGTTTCCATCTTGCTGCACAGTGGCAGGTTATCAACATCTTAACACCTTTGGCACTGTGGTTGGGGCAGGGACTCGCACTCTGGCCCAGGCTGGAGAGGGGCTCCTGTCCAGGCTGCTCCTGCTCTGTGTGTCCAGGGGAAACAGGCACAGGAGGTTCTGCATGACCCAGCTGGAGGAGCTGCACATCTTTGTGCTTGGCTACATCTCCCTCCTGCAGCAGTGGTAGGTGACAGGGAGAGAAGATCTAGAGTTAGCCCTGTCTGCATGGGTGGGTAGGCATTGCAGTGGGACAGGGAGTGTTTCTGTTCGTGTTTAATGCTGGAGCAGGCTGCTCTTCACCAAGAGGGATCTTCCACCCTCTGTCCTGCAGGTGAATAAAATCCCAGCAGCCCTGCTCTTGGTGCACTGGGACAAGCTGAGCATCATGCAGTGGAGGGGCCAGATCCTGATTCTGACCCCCATTGGCCTCACCGTGTCGTTTGATGCCCATCACTCTGCAGGTGATAACCTGGGCACACCACAGCCTGTTCTGCCCAGCTTGGCTCCACTGCCCAGCAGCAGCTGCTGCTCACCCTGGTCTCCACCTTGTATTCCCCAACATGTACTGGGTGCAGTTAGGGGCCTCTGCAAATGTTGATGGAACCCCAAGAAACAAGTTTGTATCGCAGCTGCTGCCCGAGTTGGGGTTCCAGGCTCCTGTGCCCCCGCACCTAGGCACCATCAATGCACTGGGTCCGTGTGGGCCCTTTGCCCCCTGCCCCCCCATCCTGCCCGCCTGTGATTACCAGAGGTGAGTGGGGCTGGGTGGAGAGGTACTGAGGGGCACCCCGGCAGCTGTGACCCCCTTCCTCCCCACTAGGGACTGGGTCTAGGATCGCTGTGCTCTCTTGGATGATGACCCCAAGCTACCATGTCATGCATTTGTGGCCTATGCAAGAGCTCCTTGCCAGGCAGGTGGGCCAGTGCAGCTATAGCAACAGGAGACTGGCTGGGGTGAGAACCCCAGCCCTGCCACTGCCCCTCACTTGACCCACAGCCCCTTACCCCTCACCCCCCATGAGCCCATGAACCATTATGAGGTATCTAATTTCCCTCTTTGATTTCTAACACCCCCTTTCCTGATGTGTTAATGACCCCCCCACCACTCCTCTTGCCCACCTATGTGATCCTGAGCCCAGAGCAATTCTTTTGTGACCTCTGATGTCACATGTGACTCAACTGTCCCTTCATGGACCTGCTAGGCACCCCTGACCCTAGCCTTGACCTCTGACCCCCAGATGCTTCATTATCACTCACCTCCTGTCCTGCCAGGTTTCCGTCATGCCATCTGGTTTGTACGCCTTTGCATTGTTCTCTTGCTCTCCATGGCTATCGGGTTCTATTGCCTCAGGTAGGCCTGGGATGCTTTGGTCCCCTCCCTGCCTGGGAGGGGGGGCGCAGCACCTACCTCCAGGTGAGACCCCTCATTGACCCCCTCCCCCCAAAAACAGGAGCAAGAAGAAAAAGTGGAAGGTTCATTGCATCTTTAAAAAAACACCCCTAGGTGAGAGAACCCAAAAGCCTGGGTTAGACTCAATTGCTTCTCGGCCAGATCTCAGCTCTTAACCCTACCCCTGCCCATCCTACCTCCGGCCCCTCTGGTTCTGGCCCTGCCTCCCACCCCAGGGCAGCGGGTCCTCACCAACCAGCCAATCACCAGTTTCTGGAAGATGTAGTAGAGCTGGTCATTGAAGTATCAGCATCTCGCCTGCCTCATCCAGCACCAACATCTTGATGAACTTGGGGCTGCCGTGTTGGGGGAGGGGCTCGTTAGCAAGGGGGCAGGGCTAGGGGGGCAACATTCTCAGTATGGAAAGGGTATGAGCAGTGCCAGGACATCCCCAGGCTCCGAGGGCAAGGGCAGGAGCCATCAGATGACATGCATGGGGATCATCAGTATCTGGCACCTGGCGCTGCAGAGGACAAAGTCAGAGCCAGGGTGCACTAGCAGAGGTAGTGGCAGTTGAGTACGTCAAAGATGCGGCATGGGGTGCCCTCAATGATGTGGGGCACCTCTGCCTGCACAGCTGGGCACACCTGTGTTATGTGGTGCTGTGCTGCAGCCCAGCACTTGGTGCATCTGTATTACATGCTGCTAGGCTGCACCTCAGAGCTGGGTGCATCTATGTTATGTTGATGGGCATCGGTGGGAATAAATTTCAGTCCTTGGAGCATGTGCCTATGTGCGCTTGTGTGTGCACAGGTGGGCCCGGGCTGTGCTCTGCTCCCAGGCTTGGCTGAGGGTACTAGGTACAACTGAGAGGGACCCGGGGCTGGGTTTCATAGTATCGTAGTAGCTAAGGTCAGAAGGGACCTGCTTTGGGCAGGAACGGATGCTGGGGTCATATGACCTCAGTCAGGTGTCTATCCAGCCTCTTAAAGACCCCCAAGGTAGGAGCGAGCACCACTTCCCCTGGAAGTTGGTTCCAGGTCCTAGCCACCCTAACCTTGAAGTAATGCCTCCTGATGTCTATCCTGAACCTGCTCTCTATCAACTTGTGGCCATTATTCCTAGTTACCCCATGTGGTGCTGGGGGGAACAGGGCATCTCCTATTCCCGGCTGATCCCTCCTGGTGAATTTGTAGATGGCCACCAGATCTCACCCCCCCCAGCCTTCTCTTGTGGAGGCTGAACAAGTTCAGGCCCTCTAATCTTTCCTCATAGGGCCTGCTGTGCTGCTCCCTGATCATGCAAGTGGACCTCTGAACCCTCTCAGTGCTACCCACATCTGTCTTGAAGTGCAGCGCCCAGAACTGGACGCAGTACTCCAACTATGGCCTGACCAGTGTCGCATAGAGGGGGAGGATCACCTCCCTGGACCTGCTTGTGATGCATCTGTGGATGCAATTCCTCAAATTGGCAGCTGATGTTCAACCTGGGCCCTGCTGACCGGCAGGAGAAGGCAGAGGACCCAGCCATCCTTGCTGCTAGGCACCAGCTCCTACTGCCTGGCAGACGAGGAAGAATCCAAGTGCGTGGGCTCGCAGCATCACCCCCTTCAAAACCATCTGTGCCAGCCCCCTGCCCGCACCCACCAGGCCCCACTCCCCTCCTGAAGAACAGGTGTCCCAGCTTGAGACAAACTGGGCTTCCACCCCCCCAGCTGCAGCTGCCTCAGCCCCGCAGGGCCTGGATCATTGTGACCACCCTTCTGCCTCCTCAGCAGGGCCTGCAGAGGACCCAGGGGTTTGGGGCTTCCCACTCCTCAGGCCCCTCCTAATAGCTTGAGTGTCGCAGCAGCCCCGCCAAAAAGAACCCAGACGTCCGGCTCCCAGCATCCCTTGCTCCGCCCCGGCCCCCGAGAACGCAGGCGTCTGGGCCCCCAGAATTCCTAGCGATCACTCTTCCTGAAGAACCCAGGCCCCCAACTCCCCATCCCCTCCAAGATCCCAACCCCCCCCCCCCCGTGGGCATTGGCTGCCCGGCGGGCTGACGAGCGCACATATCGGCCAATCCCCGCGGCCTTAGAAAGAAAGGGGGGAGGTGTGACGTCACGCGCCGGCCCGGTGTAGGTGGTCAGCCAATGGGCGCGGGGCGGCGCGGCCGGGCCAATGGCGAGCGCACGGCGCGGCCAATGAGCTCGCGGTGGGGGCGGGCCGAGGAGTAGGTATATAAGCCGCGGCGCTGCAGGCAGGGTGCCGACGCTGCCCAGGATGTCTGCGAGTCAAGAGAGCCGGTGAGTACTCCTCCTCCCGGCCGTACGACTATCTGTGGGTGGTGGGGGGGGGGGTGGAATAACCCGTTTCTTTACTGCTTCTCGTGTCTTCTTTGGTGGCCGAGTTCGTTCCCGCCCTTCTTCTTTTTTTCCTGTCTTGTTTTTCTTTTATGGGCGAGTCTATTCTTTTAGAAGCGTTTTGGACGCCTCCA